CACGGCAGACAGTGGCCGGAGTGACACAGCAGCCGCGGGGTGACGGAGCAGTTCACTGTTGGTCTGACACGGTGCTGTGCGGCCGACACCGTACACCGGTCCTAGGCTCACACCACAACGTTCTTAGGCCGACACTACACCGCGCAGGTCCAAAGCTCACACTACCCCGCACCAATACCGTGAACGTAATGATCGGCCGAAGGGGCGGCGTATGCAGATCGATCACGGTGACCGGTGGCGGGTCCAGCCGGCACGCCACCCACGATCAACACGGCCAACAAAGGAACAAACACCTACCACCGGGCGCAGTGAGGAACGACGACCAGTGGTGTGAGGTGCCATTACAGCTGAATGGCGTACACGGCTGTATGACGCCTTTATCTCGGAGCTCTCATAGTGAATGAAGCAGCTCTGCATGTTTTATCAAACTACACTATATAAGTGCATCAAAAATAACCTTCATGTTATGTCGAATCCAGAGTGCGGAATGTTAAATTGAGTTATTCCGAACTTCTGACATATGTACGACACCCACGCAACTGTCCGTCACCCACGGTGATATCGGCAAACGTTGAAACATTCAGAAAAGTCCAACGTCACTCAAAACGCAATTCATTCAACTGCACTTGCAGCCTTTGCCCCGCGAAACGTTGAATCACGCCTGGCAGAGTCGTGCGGCACAGCATGGTTTCAGGCGCCTACCACTAGCGACATCTATGGACTGGAACATAACCAGACGGCACAGCCTACCTTCCAGGCAGCCTGGCCCCTCGTCGCCCGGCACAGAGCAGGAGACAGGCAGCTCGGGCAGACGCTGCATTTGCTTCATGCTATCCCCGTGTGAATCAGCTAGCTGTCCAGTGTTTTGTTGCATGCAGCAATCTTCACTGCTGCGAACTGCACCCACGCAGCCTGAGACGACCCACGATCCGACACTCACTGTTTGTACATGACACACCATGTCTCTAACAGTGCCGCCACTTGCAGCAGACGCGACCTTTACCAATCGATGAAAAATTCAACACCTTGGAGACCGTAAAGGTCAGCAACGCTCAGCGCACCAGCGGTAATTTTGGTGCAACGACCCACTAGCAAACAGGAGCTTAGCACGAAAACGATATAAACGAGTTAGCGGCAAACGGTGCCCAATTCCGATAAAGGTGACGCACACGGCTTCAGAGAGGCCGTCTCGCCTGTCGGATTTCGTCAGCCCACACTCTGCGAAGTGTCTCCGGGAATCTGGTCGCCGGGCGTCTGGTGATTTTGCGCAGCGTGGGCGTGAGCTGCTCGAGAACGGCCATAAAGGCCGTCATAGGCAGCGAGCCACTGGCGACAAGAGGCCATTGAGCGGCCTGATAGGCGGCGCAGGAGCGGCTGAGGTGGCCGGTAGTGCGACAGACTTGGTTGTTGGGACCGCTTCATTCTCCTAACGGCCCCGGCAGGGAAGCTGGCGTTCAGAGGCATGCTTGTTTGGCTATGTTCTGGAAAAGCAGCCGCCAGCCACAGGCAGGCATCCTATTTGTTTCACTTTTGTACTTATTTTGTCTTTTTCTGTTGAAAATAAATGAGAGATGAGATGAGATGATGATTTCCCACCATAGTGATAACAGAATCACAGTGCGATATTTCTAACACGCTACTGTAAAAGTAACACTCCTCGCAGCCTTCCAGTTTATCCTTCACGCAGTATTCCGCATTATGCCAGCCCGGCACGCATACGGCGTTAGTGACGCAGTGTGCGTCAAGAATGTCGCCGCCGCGTCGCAGCCTGTGTATGACAGGATACCTGTTGTGCTCCGTTCAGATAACAAGCCCACGGCTCGGGCGGAAAGCTGAATAGGCCGTGCCTGTTACAAACATCTGGTGATGTTTCCCAGAATGCAGGGAAAATTGAATCTTGTCGACACAGCGTATACTTTTTGAGATAGAGTTACGAATAACATGTAAAATTCAGATCTAACAGATATAGATATGTGAGACTAGCAAACAGAAAGGTGCTGGGAAATACAATCAGAATATGCGAGCCATAGACCTCTGTATACCGGTATAGAGATCTATATGCGAATCTATCCCACAAAGAGGCAACTGATCCTCTTTTATCAATACGACTTAGATGTGCTCGACATCAAAGCATAAGGTACTTACACGGATTCTCATAAAACCTTTATTGAAAATAGTGAACATGATACCTACCTACTGCTGACGCCCAATAACATCACCAATTAGGACAGGCAGAGACACGGAGATTCAGCGGTAGATACTCGTACTTCTCCGAAAAAACGATTATCGATCACATGAGAACCAAAGATAGATGGCAGAAGTCGAGTAAGAAGCAGTAAGAAGCAAAAGCAATACGAATCTATTGTGTGCGTTTTGTACATTGGCTCCAACTCTTATGTGTTGTTGTTGTGGGCGGTTATTGTATCTACCAAATAGGATTCGAGCTGAGCTGTTCGTAGCAGCTCTGAGGTAAATGCCATCCCGATCATTGAAGATGACAGAGGCAATAATTACCTCAAACACAGCCGGCCTAAGGTGACCCCGACCGCATAATTATCAGCTGACAGAGGGCCCGACCTTCCCCGAAATAGCACCACAAAGCCACCACATCCCACCGTCCCGAGCACAATTGGCTGTGATTTCATCATCACAGAGACACAACATATCGGATGTCATGTGTGCCGACACGATAAGGTTTCGCAAACCGGGCAGCTCACTGTTCCATCGTCCTCAATAGCGTGTTGTTCCGATGGTGTCATCACGTGGCTGCTGATACAGGGTTAGACGGATGAAGCAAGAGGCACCAGCCTGCACAGCCACACACATTTCGGACAAAACTTCTCATCGAGTCTTCCGAACGAAACATGACAGGATCACACCGCCGTGACATGGCTCAACTCTGAGCTTTCTTGGAACGATACCCGTGTTTGTTATTCGCCCCGGCTTCGTCTGTCATTAGGGACACGTGAGTCGCGAGCCGCGTGGGACGCGTCGCTCGGACCCGTCCCCCGGCTGTGTTAGGTCTATTACAGGGACTCGGGCGGTGACAGGCCCCGTCTGAGGTCGCTCCACGGTGACCCCCGCCCGGTGACCTCCGTAGACGCAGCTGTTTCTCCCTCCCCGCCCCATCCCCAGGTCAGGCGCGACACTTGCGGAGCTGTGAGTCGCACAAGACTGACACTTGTGTACGGCGGGGGTCGGCCGGAGCTTCGCCGTCATTCCCGGCATGGGTCACCGGTTGTAAACGGGCTCAGCGGCAGCTCGGCCGGTCCTCCTCCGATCTAACAGGGCTAGCAGTTCGGCCGGTCCCCTCAGCTGTCAAAGGACTCGGTCGGCAGGCGCCGGACGAAGCTTGTGTCCCGTGTTCCTAGAACAGCCGCTTATTTAGGAGGAGACAGGTCATGATTCCCCCGGGAGCCGTAGCTTCGGCGGAGGAGCCGTCTCATGATCATTGCGATAGAACGCCGAGAGGTAGGTCGATGGTGATAGGAGGTTCGCCTGACCCGGCCAATGACCCAGTGAGGGTTACATCAATACCGTGTTCAATCATCAAGGCTAGATGCTTAATGTGATAAGTGCGTGCTGAATGAGAGGCAATGGTACCTGTCTAATCGAAATCTAGGATGCTCTTCCTCATCTGGAAGTTCGGGGGCAGTCGCAATTGGGTGACGTGGCCACGGGCTCGAATCAAGCGCGAGCAAGGAGCCGAGGACGGAGTGTAAACTATGTCGAGTGGTGCAAATAGCCTTATCAGGAGCATTCCACGGATCCCGCCCAATATAGGGTTGAAAGCCGTCCTACATCTTCCAATCCCACCTCATCTCACTTATCTTCACATCACTTGATCAAGCAACACCATACGTCGTCCAGCCTCTCATTACCGCCGCAACAGGTGTTCTTTCGCCGGGTCGGTCCCCAAACTGTCCCACCCCCTCCCTCAGGAGGGTGGGGGGGGGGGGGTGCTGACGTCACCCCAAACAGAGGCGGGCCCGGCTGACGTCACTGTCCTCTGACAAGCGGCGATTCACCACCAAATGACCGCTCGACCTGCGACGCCGGACCCGCCGGCCACCTATTAAACGGCGCTCACCACATCGATCGGGAACTCAAACTCCGATCCACTCGCTGGAGAGATGGTCCACAATGTCGAATCATCGGCTGGATGTTCTACAGCTGATGGGAGCTGTTGGTAGCTCGAGAGCACTGATTTCCGCTCGATGAAACAGGGGACATTGCGAGGGTCGAGAATCATAACCACGACGAAAGAAGCCTGCTGCTTTGAAGTGGCCTCAGACGAGGCGGATCGAAGCCCGTAGGATGGACGTTACTCTACGCTTTCCAGACTATCCTATCCGCTCGTTGCTCTCGTTCAAGGGGTTTACCGAAAGAGCTCGGGGCGCGGTGCTCGGGTGACGGCCGCAGGGCACACCCCCGGGGCATCTGTCGGCCGTGATTGCGCCTTTATCGATCGTTCGCGCGGCGGCACGGCACGGCGCCAGGCGCGACACGGGCCGAGACTCACCGTAAGGGCCGCTGGTCGGGCGCTCTCGGCTCCACCGGTGCCGGCGGGCGGCGGGCTGCAGGCTGGGCCGGCGGGCGGCGCGGAGGAGGCGGCCGAGGTCGAGCTGGGGCAGGGCGGCGCCGGCGGTCGGCAGTCGGACGGCACACCACACGCTCCGACACCTGGCCTTACTGTTGCTGCCGCCGCTCGGCGCCGTCGGCCACCCAGAGTCCCGGATGTTCTGATAAGAAAATCAATGAGCGCTGCGACGGCGCGCGGCCAGTCGACGCTGGCGCCGCGCGGCGGACGAAGGGCGAAGCTGCGGCCGCCGACCAGCGCGCCGCCTACCGGCCCAGCTGGGAAGCTGAGAGGCGTTGGTGAGACGGACATCCTGACGCCAATTACTGTCAGGAAGCGGGACGGCGGACCCCGTGGGACGGACCTTTCGCCACAGACTGGGTAAATAGGAGACTCCTGGCGCGAATAAACGTCCTCCTTATACAACGTAATAACGTTTATTCTTGGCTGCCAGACATGTCACAAACTAACACTAGAAAAAGCTCGCAACGGCACGGCATCAACAATAATGGGTCACATCTCTTTGAAAGCGAGAAACAGCCAACGCGACCAACAGTCCGCGAGTCGCAGCGTCCACCCGTTTCTTTGTACTGGAGCTAAGCGCGAGCAACACGGCTATTCTGGTCCTACGCAGCGTCAACGCTACAGTCGGGTTCACACGGGAGCACCGGACGCGAAACACATCTGCCGTCCCACACTTTACAGGGATTCTCATTCCGTCAGATCGAGCTGAAACTGAGCCCCCTAGGGGCGCCGAGCCATGGCCTCATTATAGTTTTAGTTAGTTTAACTCGGCCAAAGTCGCTGTCGGTTCATTTCAGTCGCGTTCAGTCGAGCGTCGATGTCGTTTCATTTCCTTCAGTGTCTCTGAGCGCTCCGGTCGCTGCTGTGCCCATCTGTTCTCGCCGGGCGGGCTGGCGGCGGCGGCGATAGGGCGCAGCTGGCTCCTCCGGCGCCTCGGGCCGCTCTCCGACGGGCCGTAACGGTACCGACGGCGGCAGAGAGCCCCACCCGGCCCGACCGACGCACCCGGCCCTCCTCCCTCACTCTCCCCTCCAAACGGCCCCCGCCCTCGTTGGCAATCCACACACCCACTGCTGAAAAAGGAGTCAGATCGAGATTCACTCGATCGACCGAATCTCGAGCTGACCACGGAAAAACCAGAGAGGAGGAAGTCTGCGCGCTAAAACCCTACCAGCTCGCAACACCGACACGTAAAGGCACTAAGCAGCAGTTAGCTGAGCGGCGGCTGAAGCAGGGTTTGGGTACCACACGGCAGTGTCCTGCAGCCAGAGAATGGCACAGATTTCTCCACCAGACCTGTCTGACAAACTGGCGGCCGTCAGCTGATACAATTCACCTGGCTCTCCTGAGAGGTGACTATCGGGGGCAGTGAACAATACTGTTTTACTCCTTCCGGAACTCTAGGAAACAGCTATCTCGCTGACACTGCAACAGAAACACCCATCTACGTCTAGGAGATACTCCTATCAACGCTGGGCCCGGGCAGATCCTACCATCACGCCAAAGACAGCGCATCGTCCGCAGCTCACTACTGCTCTGTCACAGTCAGTCACAACCAACCAGCTCTCTGTGCGCTCACACAACGCTATTGCCCGAGACCTGAGCCCGGGGTTAAACCCTACCACCTCAGACCAGTGTCACCGCCGAGCCGACCCGTTTGGCAGAGAGTGAAGCCAGCAGTCTGGCGCCGAGCTGGGGCCAGCGGCGCGCCGCCAGGTAGCCCAGCACGGCGGAGACTAGCGCCCAGCCGGTGAGCCGGCCGGCCCAGCGAGCGGCCGGCGCTGACACCACCAGGTCGGCCGGCACGTGATCGGAGGCGCCGCGCACCTGGGGAGAGAAAAGGGGTCAGACGAAACTGAAGACACAAGGGAGGGAGAGGTCAGAGGCACAGTGCACCTGGGGACACAGGGGGGGGGGGGAGGTCAGAGGCACAGCGAAACTGAAGACACAGGGAAGGAAGGAAATGTCAGATGAACAGCGCACCTGGGAACACAGGGGACGAGGGTGGAGATGTCAGAGGTCACAGGCGCCGCACATCTGGGGACACAGAGGGGGAGGGGAGGTCAGTGGTCAGATGGGAGCCGGTCAGCAGTCAGCGTTTGGCGGTCAACGGTCGGAAGTCAGCGGCTGTGGACAGTGGTCAGGTGTCGGGGGTGGCCGCCAGTGGTCAATGCCCATCGGATCACAGGTCATTTGTCTTGATCGACGATCAGCGATAGGCCAGGGTCAGGGGCCGTCGGTCATCCCTCAAAGTTCAGCTTTCATCGATTCACAGTAACATGGAGACTCTGAGACACGGCGTAATGTGGAGACAGCGCACCGAGGCACCGTCGGATCAGTATACCTATAGTTACATACCAGTACCCTTTCACTAGCTAAGTTACATTCAATAAACACAAATCTAGTCTATGAATGGCGATCCTACATAGGTGAAGCATAAGGTCACAAATTGGCCTGCAGAATGCAGATACACCACTGGAGTGAATATGAATGAAGCAATGAAGCGTAAATTATCCCATTCACGGTATATAATACGCACATAAATACAGTGATCACATATACCTACACACAGAAATCAGACGGCGTGACACCGGCCCTTTACGTTCTCAGTCGGTAAATAGAAATGGGAGAGAGTAACAGTGTCACGGTGCAGATCTTTGGATCGACTGTGCTATATACCGAGGAGTAAATGATAGAGTACCTATATCAGCATTCAGCATTGAGTTTAGGAGCATCATCTCTCAAAACTATAATATAGTATTTTCTTGACGGAGACTTTGCTGTGCATTGTTCATTTAACAATACGCATCATCGTATTTTTCTTCGGAAACAACACACAAAATGCTGCTCTGCTTCTCCGAAATTTTTGTCACGGAACCCAGTTGCGTCGAAAACGAGCCATTTTAGCACTGACCGCCGACAGCGCATTGCGTGCGAATGCGATACATATAACTAGTCTCTGTGCAGCGCGCATACCTCGGGGACCGATTGCAATTTCTGTGGCAACACGCTAACTGCGAGCTGAAACGCTATGATAGATACGTACACTTTAAACAAAGCATTGATCACTGTGAATACCCGCACAGTGATATCATTCAATCACGTAGCACATCCGGCACGGCCTCGTATATCTGCTGAGAATACACTGACCTACAGATCAGAACAAAGGCAGTCCCTATCAAAGATATTATTCCTTTATTTATGCATCACAGCCATAATCTGAGAGCGAAGGTACTGCAGAATCAATCGTCTGGCTTCGAAATCACCAACCGGATCGGTAGCGGTTTTGGAGTTACTGTCCTGCAAACAATACCCGTCTTCAACAAAATCACAGACCATGAAACACAGGCCCAAGCATGAACCACATTGCAGTTGGTCAAGTAGAGATAACCACAGATCACAGCCCGTAAAATCGCTGTAGCCAGACTCATAAAAGCTCAGACCGTACAGGTTTCGTAACGGCTGACTGCACCCACCCCATGAACAGAGGCGGTCTGTATGGTTCGACCTCCGGCTACCGACCATCAGTGCGATATCAGCCGAGAGCACTCGGCAGACCTCTCACCGCCGCCTCTGAGTCAGCAGAGGAGGGGAGCCCCGGCCTCTTCTCGACCAGCGCGGCCGACTCTCAGCACACCTGTCTGCACTCTCCGCTCAGCAATCAGCCGGGGAGGGGAGCCCCGGCCGCCTCTCTACCAGCGCGGCCGACTCAGGCCGACTCAGGCCACCTGTCTGCACTATCCGCTCAGCAATCAGCCCGCGGAGGGGCGCCCCGGCTACCCCTCTACCAGTGCGGCCGACTCAGCACACCTGTCTGCACTGTCCGTTTAGCAATCAGCCGGGGAGGGGCGCCCCGGCCCCTCTCCACCAACTCAGTCCACCTGTCTGCGCAGACAGTCGGCAATCAGCCGCTACCCCAGACTCAGTGTCGCCCGTCTGGCGTCTCCGTCAGCCGCGCCGTCTAATCCGCGCGCCGATGGGACGGTAAAAACGACTCATTAGATAGATTGGCCCTGGCTGGCGGCCGGCCCGTGCGACCGGCGCCCTATGTGACGGCCAGGAGCCCTCGCCAGACGCGCAGGAAAGACAATGGACGCACCCGGACGGCGGCCAGCGACGGCCAAAGGTCAAGGTCAACGGCGCCCCATCATTATCTCCCAAACAAGGTCGAATGCACACATGGGACCGAACAGAATGACCAAGAAGACGGATATGTAGTGCAAAAAAAATGGCTCGTGTTTTGCGCATAACTCAAGAGACCTAGGACCCAACATTCCAAAACAGTCGAAAAGGAAAAAGGATACCGAGTATCGAAATTTGTGCTACAATCAAATAATTTTTGCTCGTCTTACCGTAAGGGGATTGGAGGAGCACGACTCATCTTGCACTGAACGGAGATATACTACGCCGGCGAGAACTCTCAGCTGACGGTCGCTCTGCGAAGGCGTGCAACACACCAATCTCGCCAGCCGCTCTCCCGCTCACCCACTGCTCGCTTCGCTGGGTACCTCTCTCGCTCTCCATCCGCCCCCGCTCAGCTCTCCATCCCATCCTACTCTCTGCTCTCCATGCGCCCACCCTCTGCTCTCCACCCACCCACCCTCCGCTTAGCTCTCCATTCCGCCCCACTCTGCTCTCCATCCGCCCACCCTCTGCTCTCAATCCATCCCCGCTCAGCCACCGCCGCGCTGGCCGCTCGCTCGACACCACCACCAGTACAACTTGGGAGACGTATGTGACGCGTTTAATCAAAGTAGCCCCAGCGTCCCACGCGGGAATATAGCCCAGCTTTACTGACGAGTTTGAAACTGGGCTCATACATGTAATATTGGCACGGCCGCATCCATCTCCCAGTAAGCCCTCTGAGAAGGTCGGGGATGAAATAGGGGGCAATATGTCGGGGAGAGGTGCCAAATGGGATGGGTTTAAACAAAGTGGGCAAAAGAGACAATTGAGGAAAAAGGCGTGGCGAACTTGACAGACACCCAGTGCCCAGTAAAGAGTGAATACTTTCTTGTTAAAGGCACCACAAACTAGAATATTGTTCAAAATTGTGTTAATTAAGTCCCAGGGGCGCCAAAAACGAAGAAAAAAACGACTTATTCAGATTAGCACAACAACTTAGCTGCTACTTAATTTATTTTCTTTTTTCCTTCACCCGCGAAAAAGTAGAAAATGCATGACAGTTTAAAGGAAGGACGGAAGAAAAACGTGGGAAAACAAACAAGATAGAGAAGAGAGAGGAGAGAGGGGGAGAGAGAGAATGAGAGTGACGGAGGAGATAAAGACAGAATGTAAACAGAATGAAGATAGAAAGAAGAAAGATAAAGATAGAGGAGGGATTGAAAGAAGAAAGACATAAAGAAGAAAGAAGAGAGCGCGACTGAGAGGAGAGCGCTGCGGTGTGGTCGAGATTAGCGGCCTCGGGCCACCGGTGCGACCTCGTCTGACAGTTTAACAGCCGGCGGCTATCGACCGACCGCCCACCGCCCAGGCGGAGGCGGAGGCGGAGGCGGGGGCGGTGGCGGTCCGATAGCCGCCGGAGGAGGAGGAGGTGCCGGCGGCCGGCCGGGCGTGCAAACAGCGCCGAGCACAGATAGCGCGGCGAGTCCGGCCGCCCAGGAGCCGCCGGAGGGCGACTGATAACATATCGGCGCGCACACGCCCCGAGAGCGTGAGGAGCCGCCAGCGGGATTCGTACCGGTCAGATGTCAAGGACAGGAACAGCTACTGCTGAGCGGAGTTTAGCCAGAAAGAAAGGACGGAAGAAAAACGTGGGAGAATAACGAGTTTGAATGACCCGTACCGCCCGGCGTGCTGGGGCCGGGGTGGCATGTTTTCATAAGATCTCGTGTATGTCAGAATACGTATCCGGTTTAAGGAATATCTCAGTAAGCAGGTTGTGTCTGAGAACACTGATCAGTGATCAGCGCAAGAGATCGGAAATTCAGGTCAGATACAACTTAGAAGGATGCAATCATCCATGTAACAATGGTTTGCGAGGAAAGTTAACCTATGCAGATAGGCAATGGAAGAGCAACCAAAGTCAATGCAGCATGTGGATGGTTCGAAACTCAAGCAATTTGAACTTTCGGGAGAGCAGGGGCATCCGGCGTGAAAGAATTTTCAGACCGACTGCCGGGTTTCTAATAAACCGCGTGGACCTGACACTTCTCACAGATCAGTGACGGCGTTTAATTTCTAAGCAGTTCAAAGTTAGTAGGGGCCTCCCGTCCAAATATTTCAATATCCGGTCGCCGGAGTCGCCCATGCCATTATATTGAGATTAAGAGATCCAGCTATAACACCGCACATTATGTCAAGATATGCTGACCAGCATATGTGCTGGGAAATGAATGGATCATATGGATTTGAAGAAAATTTGACGAATGCGCATGTTGGCTAGAATGAAGTTATTCAGGGACACATAAATCCCGAAAAGTTTCCCCAGGAACAGTTGGTGCACGTTTAGTTGCACTTGTGCATAAGAATCGAGATTGAACGTCATTCAGCTCAAGCATATAAACCTCACGCACTCTTAGCATCGACTCTATTGTGACACTATCAGATCAAGGAGCAGAACGACATTCCGTGCATTCAGATTAGAGAGATAAGACTGTCACACTTCGAAAAGTTGGGCGATCTTGTCAGGGGCGTAACTACATACAGCGTGATGGGGGAGGACAGTGCTTTTCTTTGTCATTTAATATCTGCCACAAACTATTGAAGAGCTACCAACATTTTGATAGCGACACTTACATGCCATCTGAAGACCCTTCAGAAGAACAGTTTTTTATGCTTTGCGGTGAGTAAATGAAAAAGCTAATGAAAATTTCAACTAAGTGACAAGAAGAATGATAAATAAGATGGCACTGGCATCGTTGCCGACACAGTGATATTGGAGGAAATTATGGGGAGGGCCAGATGAGACCAATGCACTGTTGAGCCCCCGCAGAGAAGGTGCAAGAGCACCGATCTCGGCCGGCGCCGATCTGCGGATCCTCTCGACCTACCGACAATCAAGAAGTGCTGTCGCCACTGAGACCTGTCTTACATTATCAGCGTGCCATAAACCACGGCGGACGCCGATGGCTGGCAGGGGCTCTGCCGGCCCCGGCAATCAGATCGCGGTGAACTGCGCAGGTCGCCGCTAGTCTCCGCGCTGCGCGACAACTAACCCCGGTGCTGTGATCCTGAACAGAGCTGTGGCTGTGTTAAAAACGCGTTCGAAAGGAGAATTCAAACATGCATTACAACGACCAACAGTGGCGTGATTAGTAGAGTGCGTAAAGGTGGCAACGGTGTAAGGGACACGAAACTGCGGGGGTTGATCGAAGCTGTGCTACAGGACAGCTAACTTCAAGATGGCGCCCGTATTTACGCTGGCTCTGCGGAGTGTAGACTTTGGGGACGGGCCGATGGAAATAGTCGACATCCAAGGACTGGAGGCGCAGCTGGAGCGCAAGGAAGCTGTCAAGGGTGAGGACGGCAAGACCACGCTCGTGCATCAGCACACGTTCACCGTTCACTCCTTGCGAAACGCGTTCGTCGTTCCAGTCAAGGACAAGTCATTCTTTGAGATCACGCTCAGTTTCAAGTCTGGCAGCAAGCTGCAGACGCTAGTGGCTGCCAACACCTTGCTGCAAAAGTGCGAGGACAACAAACAGAACCACGCACAGGTGGTGCTCAAGCTCAAGCCCTCCGGTAAACTGAACCTCCGAGTGAAGCTGGCTGATGATGGCGAGAGCGACGAAACGCCCGAAGGCATGGAGATTGAAACTCAGACAGCCACTCCCGCAAGGCGCGGGGCGGTCAAACACCTCAAGGTTTATGAGGTGCGCGGCCACAAATTCGTCGCCAAATTCTTCCGCCAGTTCACCTTCTGTGCCTTTTGCCACAAGTTCATGTGGGGCTTCAAGAAGCAAGGCTACCAGTGCCAGCAGTGTCAGTGCTCAGTTCATCGCGACTGCCACGGCAAAATCCTGTCACGTTGTCCGGGCTCTGCCGCCGAGAGTGAGCAGAGCGTCATCCTGCGAGAACGCTTCAACATCAACATCCCGCACCGTATGAAGGTGCACAGCTACCGCACGCCGACGTTCTGCGATCACTGCGGTACTCTGCTGTACGGCCTGATCCGACAGGGTCTACAGTGCGAGGTGTGCGAACTCAATTGCCACAAGAAATGCGAAGCCATGCTGCCAAACCTCTGCGGCATCAATCAGGAGAAGTTGCAAGACATGCTCAAAATAGTACGCGAAGAGTCAACGCGACCGAAGAAGGGAAGCACAGAGAACCGGCTGGAACCGATCAAGGAAACTGACGGTCCGGTACAGATTAGTGACGAGGCAGTACAACTGCCTCCGCGTGAAGAGAAACCCGACAGAAAGGACTCCCTGGCGCTCATCGAGCCGCCGCCAGAGCCGAGCGTACCCAGCTTCAACGTCAACGACTTCAACATGCTGAAGGTTCTCGGCAAGGGCAGCTTCGGGAAGGTGATGCTCGCAGAGATGAAAATTGTGCCCAACCGATCATTCGCCATCAAGTGTCTCAAGAAAGATGTGGTCCTCGACGACGATGATGTTGACTGCACGCTGATCGAGCGAAATGTGCTGGCGATGGGCACGCAGCACCCATTCCTTTGCAGTCTCTTCTGTACGTTCCAGTCGCCGTCTCATCTCTTCTTCGTCATGGAGTTCCTCAATGGTGGAGACCTCATGTTCCACATCCAGCAAGCGGGACGCTTCGAGCAGGACCGCGCTCGCTTCTATGCCGCTGAAATTCTCTGTGGTCTTCAGTTTCTCCATTCGCACAATATTGTCTACCGTGACATCAAGCTGGACAATATCGTGCTGGACTCGGATGGTCACGCGCGCATCGTGGACATGGGTCTGTGTCGAATGAACGTGTCTGACCAGAACCGCTGCGCCACGTTCTGTGGCACACCCGACTACCTGGCGCCAGAGATCGTGAAGGGCAAGCGCTACGACCAGGCCGTCGACTGGTGGTCGTTCGGAATCCTCCTTTACGAGATGCTGATCGGACGGTCGCCGTTCTCGGGAACGGACGAGGACGAGCTGTTCTGGTCCATCTGCAACGAGGACGTCTACTATCCACGCTACCTCTCAGTTCAGGCGAAGGAGGTTCTAGGGCTGCTCCTTGTCCGAGAACCAGAGAAACGACTGGGCATGCCCGGATGTCCGGCAGGCAGCATCCGCGATCAGGTCTTCTTCAAGTCGATCAACTGGGAGAAACTGGAAAAGAAGAGGGTGCAGCCACCGGTGAAACCAAGGGTGAAGAACTCGCGTGACTGGTCGTGCTTTGACAAGACGTTCCTGCGAGAGACACCGGCGCTTACTGTGATGGACAAGGAAATCATGAAAACTATCGACCACGACATATTCAGCGACTTCGCCTACGTCAACGAAGCCATGTTCCAGGACGTCACGACAGATGCAAGGAAGATGTCGAAGGCCGAGGCGCCAAACCGAAAAATCTCAAAGCAGCAAGAAGGTGAGAAGGCACTCATGCTAAAGCTTCTCAACGACAACCGCAGTCTAACGGGCAACAAGGCCTCTCACCGTAAGATCTCTGCGCCAACCCCAACAGGGCTTCTGCCACCGCCAGGCAAGACACCGACCGGCTCGCCCAACCGCAAAATATCTGTCCCAACGCCGGTCTCCGCGCCAGCCGGTGTTCAAAACGACTCTCCCCTCCAGGCCAGAAATAGGAAAATCTCTGCTCCAGTCGGCGGCATGGTGCGCAAGATTTCCAAGGCACTCGGCCGGGGTTCCGACTCGACAGACGGCGCCGCCAGCAGTCCGCAGGGCAAATACGGAAAATCCCGGGACGAGTGTCCTCCCAGTCCACGACCCAAGCATGACAACTCGCCGAGCCCAAAGCCGCGTGACAGGTCACGCAGTCCCAGGCCAGCTGATGGACACTCGCGTAGTCTACGACCCGGCGATGGCCGATCTCGCTCCAGAAGTCCGGCGCCGCGCGGGGCCGACTCAGGATACCGCTCGGACCGCAGCGCGCGTTCACCACGGCCCCGCTCGCGCAGTCCCGACGTCAGAAAGGCAGCCTCAGCACGGGGCCGCTCACCGTCGCCTAACCCCCGAACGAAGGACGCCTCCGCGCGGAGAGGCCGCTCCAAGAGTCCGTCTCCGCGCGCGTCCGGCGCTCGTTCGCCGAGTCCGGCGCCGGGGAGGAAGGCAGCGTCTGGTGGGAGCTCGCGACTGCGTCACACCAAGTCAGCCAACACTCTGGGAGTGAACGGACATGATGCAGGCCAAGGAAAACCGGGCCGACAGAGCTCCAACAGACTTCGACCGCCGTCAAGGTGATGCGATATGACACATAACTGCGAACAGGAGACTTTGGTGATACGTCTGTCGCGTAGGGCGAACGTGTTATAAGCTGTTTGCCATTTGCTAGACAAATGTATTACGCTAATGACGAACCAGAAAGTACTAACAGCACACGTCTGGGCCGAGGCTTGCGAGTTCTAACTGTGAGTGGACTGAAGTCCTCAAAGGGTTGATACCAGCTCCTTAAAATGCAGGAACTTTGTGTGCTAGTTCACTGACAGCAACGTAATGAACATACTGAACTGATGAACATACTGTTTGTGATGCAAAAGGTTCAAAATATGCAATGTGCACGAATAGTTTCGGAGTTAATTGCAATGCAACGAACGTAGAATTCAGCTTGACACCATAGCCGTAGCCCGGTGGCGTAGGATTGATCACTGTATGCATGCATGTGCATCACTGTATGTATGCATGTGTAAACTTGACTAGTTACGTGCTACAAAATAGGTACACAATTGATTCAATTCATGTTTTGCTGTCTGAGTTGCCTTAAATTGTACTTTTCTTTCCAAAGAGTGCACTTCAAAGAACAACTCTGTTTTTGAGGCAGCGTGTCGCTTCATAACTGTCGAAATAAATGACACTTATAATCCCTTTTTAATTCCGGCATGTTTCCGCTCCTTGAACTAACTGAATAATTGCTGATGCATGCTGATTGTCAGGAGTATTGATGACGTGTCTGATATTCCTCGAATTCCGATCGTTTTACTATTCTCCGCGACAAAAGGTTCCGAGCTTTAAATCCTTCGGCCAAGGCAGAATGAACGACAGACTTGCAACAGGCAGCCCGTTGGCCAGAGCTTTCCTTGACCCAGACCATTATCTAAAACAAGCCTGCACTTCATAGCACGTGTTGGTCCATTTCACATCCACCGTCCACTAAAAGAGCAGCTGACGTGCGACAGCTGCCGCCTAGAGCGCCGTCGCTGCCTGTTGCATAGTCAACACTGCAATGGAACGTGACCGTCAACCTTTACACCGTACACGTTGCAGCTATATTGAAGAGATGCCAGACTTTGCCGAGAGCCCGAGACTAATAAATGGACACATAAATGAGACACAGCTCCTTCCTGATCATAAATAAAAGTTAGCTAGCGTCAGTTTTTCGATAAGCTATGAATCACGCTTGATGCTTTGCAGTCTTTGCACCGACCAAACGCTATTAATCGCGTTAGTTGATCGAAACATTCCAACTTTTTAGGTACATGTCAGTCCGAATTCCGATCAACCCTTTGCACCAGGCACGGCCGTGCAGTTTCCAGCGCGGAGAGGACAGTGTCATCAGCACAGACACAGCACCTGGCGACGCTGGGAAAGTCCGCCAGCCACCCCGCTCCCGGCGTCACTGCCGACATTCCGCACTAATGACGTCATACTCCGCCTATCGTGGCAGTGACGTCACACACGGCTGGGCTGATTCACGGAGGAGAGGGGGGAGGGGCAGCGACCGCTTACTGTCTTTACCAACACTACACAGATGGAAAAAGCCGAACCACTAGTCACTACTTAATACTTATAGCTTAGGCATTCAAGCATAATTATGATAACATTTACGCAAAGTTGTTGAAACAAAAGGGGACTGATGGGCTATCAGACAACGCGCAAATAGTTATGGTATGGTTATGGTGCAGCAACTCAAAAATTGTTCGTAAAATGTCAAATGTAAAGACGTGAGCAACGGACAATGAATACGATTGTATCGTGGCACCTTGCCACTATATTTCGAGAATGTGGCGTGCGATGCGGAGAGAAAACAGAGTAAACGAAGGTTGACAGCAACAGAAGTAATCCGCGACCCTCACGGCGGGGAAGCGTGAAGTCACGGTGAGATACAGCCGCATGAGACGAAAACAAAGCTTTGTGCAAGTCATGTATTTTCGAAAACACACTCGCAAGGTAGGAACACCATGCAAGAACTGTTACCATTCTTAATCTGCTGCGGACATTTACTAACACGAATCAAACAGGCACTCATCAAAATAATATCAAAAGTAAAACATGATTCGGCAATCAATGATATGTTATAAGTACATCTTGTCCGTTGCACAAGTGGCATACAGCACATAATGAAGTTCCCCATGGTGAACGATTCATTTAAATCTGTGACGATGTTCGCTCGCCGTCTCTGCATTCGCAGCGCGGTAGGTATCATACGCAAGGAACCCTACCAGCTCACACCTGAGTTTGCCGCATTGGCATTGCAACATACGTTGATTCACATCGGACATTTCACTGCCCATGATAACTAGACAACGGAGAGTAAACACAAAATGGACCAGCCATTCCACCAACCAGGGCGGAGCCATAGTGAGCTTGATCCCTGCCGTATCACCCTCCATCGTTTCACATCGTCACATCGCGTCAGTCACATCGAGGTTGAGCCAGAGAGCAAGATATAACAAACCCGGCATCATCAGCATCATCTCGGGTGCTGCCTTTCTCGGCAGCACTTAACTGTCAGTGACCAGGTCTAGCATGCCACAACAATGTATTTTATCACCGCGAAGGTGGCCGTAGGGAGGGCTCCTGCTGCGCCGGAGACCTTTGTCGCCCCTCCGGGCTGCGGCGACCAGGCGTCCAGCCCTTGCTGGCGTCGTGTCCGTTCACGGCCAGTGTGTTGGGGGAACGAAGGTCAGCCGGCGTCGGAGACGGACTCTTCGACCGACCTCTGGTGGTCGAGGGGTCCTTCGCCTTGGAATTCGGCGAGGGGGAGCGGCGGCGCGGCGAGCTGGCACTAAGATCGGAGCGGTATCCGGAGTCTGCTCCACGCATCAATGGACTCCCAGAGCGAGAGCGGCTCTCGTGGGACCGCACGCTGTCTGCGTGGGCGTCCGTCGGCGTGGGACTGCGAGATCCGTTTCGTGCACGGGGACTCGGCGAGCGAGCAGGGCTCGAGCTACGACTTGGCGGTGACGGGCTCTTGGCTCTTCCACCAGAGCCATCTGTAGAGTCGGTTCCTCGGCCGAGGACGTTGGAGATCTTGCGCATCACACCACTAACAGGAGCTGAGATCTTCCTGTTTCTTGCCTGGGTCGCTGTAGCTTCAGAGTCGATATATTGCGCAGATATGTCTGTCGGGACAGATATCTTTCGACCGGGGCAGCTGGAAGACTTGCTACCTGGTGGAGGGAAAAGACCATGGGGTGTAGGCGCAGACATCTTTCGGTGAGGGGCCTTGCCTCCCGTTAGGTTGCGCTTGTCATTGAGAAGCTTCAACATGTGCTCTTTCTCGCTATCCGCCTGTTTTGATGTCTTACGGCTCGGTGGATCACCCTTCGACATCTTCCTACCATCCATCTTTACATCTTGGAACATGACCTCGTTTACGTAAGCGAAGTCACGGAAGATGTTGTGGTCGATGGTCTTCATGATTTCCTTGTCCATCACAGTGAGCGCTGGCGTCTCTCGCAGGAACGTCTTGTCAAAGCATGACCAGTCGCGCGAGTTCTTCAATCTCGGTTTCACCGGCGGTGGCAGCTTCTTCTTTTCCAGTTTCTCCCAGTTGATCGACTTGAAGAAGACCTGATCGCGGATTCTGCCTGCCGGACATCCGGGCATACCCAGTCGCTTCTCCGGGTCTCGGAGTAGCAGCAATCCCAGCAGCTCCTTCGCCTGAACTGTGAGGTAGCGCGGATAGTAGACGTCCTCGTTGCAGATGGACCAGAACAGCTCGTCCTCGTCCGTTCCCGAGAACGGCGACCGCCCGATCAGCATCTCGTAAAGGAGGATTCCGAACGACCACCAGTCGACGGCCTGGTCGTAGCGCTTGCCCTTCACGATCTCGGGCGCCAGGTAGTCGGGTGTGCCACAGAACGTGGCGCAGCGGTTCTGGTCAGACACGTTCATTCGACACAGACCCATGTCCACGATGCGTGCGTGACCATCCGAGTCCAGCACGATATTGTCCAGCTTGATGTCACGGTAGACGATGTTGTGCGAATGGAGAAACTGAAGACCACAGAGAATTTCAGCGGCATAGAAGCGAGCACGGTCCTGCTCGAAGCGTCCCGCCTGCTGGATGTGGAACATGAGGTCTCCACCATTGAGGAACTCCATGACGAAGAAGAGATGGGACGGCGACTGGAAAGTGCAGAAGAGGTGGCAAATGAACGGATGACGAGTGCCCATCGCCATCACGTTACGCTCGATCAGCGTGCAGTCAACATCATCGTCGTCGAGGACAACGTCTTTCTTGAGACATTTTATGGCAAATGATCGGTTCGGCACATTCTTCATTTCTGCCAGCATGACCTTTCCGAAGCTTCCCTTGCCGAGTACCTTCAGCATTTTGAAGTCATCGACACTGTAGCCCTGCTCGTTGGCCTCAGATTCGGTGGACGTGGCATAGTAGGTGTCATCGTGTTGCAGTGAAGAGGGTGCATCGCTGGCACCCGTTCCTTCACCCTCTGTGATCGGCTGCAGGGAGAGCTCGCCCGGGACTTTCTTTGGTCGCTTCGAGTCTTGGACTTGTTTAAGCATTTCCTGCAGTTGCTTTTGATCGACCCCACACAGGTTCGGCAACAAGCTCTGGCACTTCTTGTGGCAGTTGATACCACACGACTCGCACTGCACGCCCTGCCGAAACAGTCCGTAGAGTAGCGTGCCACACTGATCGCAGAACGTCGGCGTGCGGTAGCTGTGCACCTTCATACGGTGCGGGATGTTGATGTTGAAGCGTTCTCGCAGGATGACGCTCTGCTCACTCTCGGCAGCAGAGCCCGGACAACGTGACAGGATTTTGCCGTGGCAGTCGCGATGAACTGAGCACTGACACTGCTGGCACTGGTAGCCCTGCTTCTTGAAACCCCACATGAACTTGTGGCAGAAGGCACAGAAGGTGAACTGGCGGAAGAACTTCGCGACGAACTTGTGGCCGCGCACCTCGTAAACCTTGAGGTGTTTGACCGCCCCGCGCCTGGCGGGAGCGGCTGTCTGAGTTTCGATCTCCGTGCCCTCGGGTGTGTCGTCGCCTTCACCGTCATCTGTTACTTTTACACGTATGTTCAGCTTGCCGGAGGGCTTGAGCTTGAGCATCACCTGCGCATGGTTTTGTTTAGTATCCTCGCACTTCTGCAATAGAGTGGTGGCAGCTACAAGTGTGTGCAGTTTGCTGCCAGACTTGAAGCTGAGCGTGATCTCGAAGAACGACTTGTCTTTGACTGGTACGACGAACGCGTTTCGCAAGGAGTGAACGGTGAACGTGTGCTGATGCACGAGCGTGGTCTTGCCGTCCTCACCCTTGACAGCTTCCTTGCGCTCCAGCTGCGCCTCCAGTCCTTGGATGTCGACGATCTCTATCGGCCCGTCCCCAAAGTCCATACTCCGCAGAGCCAGCGTAAAGACTGGCGCCATCTTGTTGATGATGATGAACGTCCAGCACAAACACACAGTTTTAGCCTCAGGGAGACGAGTTCACTACCACATTTCTCACAGTGAAGACCTCATTGGAAAGCACCGATGTTCTTTCACTGTTTATCAGCTGGCCATTGCGAAATATCGCACCGACCACTCATAAAACTTCTTATGCACAAACCAAACCAGCTCACGTTAGGCCGCTGCACTCGCTGTTTCACTATCGACAAGTTCCGGCACAAATACGTCACAACACACCACGAACGCTCTCTG